TAAATAAAGTTTGATTGATTGATTGATTGATTGATTGATTGATTTTTATGTCTTATGGCAAAAACAGAAAAAAAGGTGAATAGGAGCAAATTTATTGGGAATTCAGACATAAAGTGAGCACATAGAATAGAAAAGCCACCAGAATTTACCAGCTGACAGAGTCTAAGTCAACATAACTATAAATACATCAACTCCTGCATCACATCCTGAACCAATATGTAACAACTGTTTAACAAGAGAAAGAGTTCAGATTATTTAAACCACGAACCACAGACGTGACTTAATTCACTTTAAGTCTGTGCGCTCTAAACTTTGAATTTGTTCTTGTGAAACATGAGCTGCTAAATCTAATAAGACACCTGAGATTACAGGTAAAATCCCCTTCAGTGCCTTTAAAACCCCCTGAGTGAGAGGGAATTCCCCCAGATCTTTAAAACTGAATTTAAGCGTCACAAAGAGTCTCACCTTCTGTTTCTGTGTGGAGCAGGCCGGGATAACGAAGGTCTGGCTTTGGAGGAGGTGGAGGCTCTGCGTCGGCTGACTGGCTCTCCATCTGRTCCAGACTGCTCTTAGACTGGAGAAAGAAGCAGTGAAGCTGAAGGGCTGAATCAAAAACTGATGATTGAGGACTTTCTCATATTTAGATGGATTAGTTTGGCTCATTGATTACTTATTAGAAATGTATTCATTAAAAAAACAACTATATACAAAAAAAACATAAAATCAAAAATAAAATGAAAAGCAGCAGCAGAAGAATAAATCTTATAATATCTGCCCCTTTTGTCCCCTAAATAAGTTCAAACAAAAGTGATTTACAGACAAAAAACAAAGCTAAATTTAAACCAACTCAAGCAAAAATTTGTATACATTCACAATTAAGACTTTCCATATTTCTTCATAAAACAACGTTTTAATATTCTATTAATATATACATAGATCTGGCATTTTTAACATCGTCCTCCAGATCATTCTACAATCCTAATCCCTGGATTGAAGTACACCGTTCTTTTGAACTGGTACGAAACCAAGTCCCCACAAACATCTCCATCCCTTTAAGAAAATAACAACTCTCTCTTTTAACAAAATTTACTTGGATGTTGGAAGGTAATATATTTTTGTGAGCCTTACATATACAGTAAAATATTATAATCAACCAAGTCATAAAATTTCWATATCTTCAACTGATAAAATAATGTATTTGATGGGTGGCTGTAATGTTTTCTAGTAATAATTCTTACGGCTCTTTTCTGTAAAAGAAAAAATGATCAAACCCTCATGTGTCAGCTGCCTCTGCGTTGCTCTTTAATGTCTAATATTTAAACACAAAATCTAGCTTCATGTTTTGTTAGGTTTTTGTTTGTTTTTTTAATCAGAAAACATGAGCGCGGCTCACCCTGGTGCTGTGCCGGTCGTTCTGAACGCCGTTATCCAGGATTTTGGCTTCTAACTGGGCCTCGGTGAGAGACGGTCTAAGAAATGGTGGCTGTACTTCCAGTGCCTGACGGCTCTGCCACCGGCCCACGTATCTGAAATACGCACAAACATTTAAAATGAAATAAAAATAATAAAACAATCAGGATCAGCAGCGTTTTGCCTGACTGACAAACAAGAATCCATTCGCAGGAAATGCCTGAACTCGTATATTCCTTTAACAGAACAGACAGATGAGAACAATAACAGGAGGGTGGAAAAACGGGAGGTGGGAGGAACAGAAAAGCAGGAGGAGTGAGGAAAAAAAGAGTTGTTAACAAGCAGAGCAGTAAACAGAAAAGGAGTGCTRACCTGGGGGCCAGAGGGCTGCAGAGCACATGTGAAATATTCCTGAAGCAGCCCTTGGTGAAAGGGTTAACTCCTCCTCGAAACTTCCCAGTTACCTACAACAAAAGGACCGTTTGACTCCTGACGGATTTCAGAATTCAAAGAAAGACAACAAAACGCTTCTGAGCTTCTTTACTGATCCAAACACCCGGCTCTTGTTTGCACCTGCTCATTTGTGGTTCTGCCGCGGGCCACCAGAACGATGTGGAACCCAGTCAGGCCAGCGACTGGAACGAAAAACAGACCGGCCACGCACATCACAGCCATACTGGGAGGAGGGGTCAAGGAAAYCAGAACAAATCATTAAGAGCACAAACACGAAAACGCAAAAAYGTTTTCGTGAAGAGGACGTGAAGGATACGTGACGGCAGCGTGAGGCGTGTTCAGCTGGTGACGGTGGTGCAGAACGTAAACCAAACCAAACCCGAATATGTTGATGATGTGGGTGGTCAGAGACAGCAAGAAGAGGAAGAAATAGCGATAATTCCTCCGACCGATGCAGTTGTTCACCCAAGGACAGTGGTGGTCAAAATCCTGAGGGGCACAGAAACACAGAACAAAACTAAAATACAGAGAAATATAACATTGAGCAGTAAACTAAAAAAAAAAATACTAGAATACATAAAAAAGTCAGACCTCAACACAGCAGTTAGAGTCTAAAATTAGGACAGTTCTACACTGAAGCCTGTATGAAATCAGGCCTTACCATTAAAGCTAAAAACAGCTAATGATTTTTGTAGCTTTTTTCCAGACATACTGCTTTAAAACTTTCATATTTAAGCAGCAGCCATTTGTAAGAAATATGGGAAAAATAAGGTCCAATGGCCAGAAGTGGCCCCCGACGTCCTCAAACAAAAATAAGACATGAGTTTTAGCAAAGTGCTGCCTTTAAAACAGCTTAAAAACAACTGTTTTCCAACTAAAATAGGCCTTGGTCACTCCAGCTTTTCAGGATCAAAGGTTTTGCAAATAAACAAAACTACTGCTTTTTTTTGCCAAGAGTTGATTTTTATTCAAGAATTAACCATCACTAGGGTTCACTGGCACTATTTTAATATACTAATAGTATTGAGTTTTAACCAAGTTTAGCAGCAAACCTCTCAAAAAATAAATAAATAAAAAGAAAAAGGAAAAAAAGGTTCCTGAAAGGGATTTCAAACTCATCTGCCTGAAAGAATATTCACGCAAACCCCTTTACAATCTACAAAATGCTGGTTTCATGTAAATAAAATAAGTCTTTGTTTTTGTTGCCGATGATGTCACGTTGTGTATGTTAGAGTGGAGAAACATATTGTTCTCATATTTCAACTCAGTTTGTGGGAAAAAACAAAACAAAATGATGTTTTTTTTAAGTAGCAGGACCTTCATAACTAAAACTAAAGGAGAAATATCTCTACCAGCTAAGTGTATGTACAGTATGTGTGTGTGTGTGTACCTCCACACAGTTGTCGCAGACCGAGCAGTGCGAGCAGCGCGGCGGGCGGTAGAAGCGGCAGGTTGAGCACCACTTCATTCGCACCTGAATGCCTCGGATCTCCACCGTTTTGTACAGAGGAGCCCGGAAATCGTCCTCTTTATCCTCRTCTTCCTCTGCTGCAGATGAAAACACACAAAACGACAACTCAACACGTGGTTTGTCATCTTCACACGTTTTTTTGTTTGTTTGTTTGGTTCACATAATCCCGTCACTTTGTTGGCGAGTGCAAAGACTTGCACACAAACCTCTGGGGAAGATCCCAGGATCCATGAACGTGGCCATGCAGAAGTTGGCGAGCGTGAAGAGGAAGATTACGGCGATGTAGAGAGGAATGACAGAGGAGATGAACTCTGACAGCCACGGGCACCTGAATTAAATGATGGAAACAAAATGACAGCTACTTCAGTCTTTACCCTCACCACCAGCAAGACATGAGGAGGAACAAAATAAAATAAAATCACACTCCATCATGTTTATGAGCCTTTGAGGTAAAATAACTCCTAAACAACCCTACTGAGACCGCTCCACAGCTAAATATAACACTGTGATTGTAAAACGGAGCTCACAGGTGTGAACGTGTGGGCAAGTGTTGCAGAGCAGATGGTAGTTCTGCTCTATAAAATCTGTAAAAGCTAAAGAAACAATAAAATGACATTATATTTGTACACTGGTATAGGTTTTATATTAAACAAAGAGAGAGCAATGCAAACTCACGTRAAGCAGAAAAAGAGGGTTGTGGCTCCAACAAGGAAGGTGGTGGCTGCGGACACCGGGACGTATCGGCTTGGTCGAAACGGACGGGGAGGAGCAGAAGCAGGACCCCCTACTCCTCCCCCACCACTGAACCCAGGCATCAGAGTCGGAGACAGAGAGAGAGGGGAGGAAGATATCTGCTGTCGGCCTACAGTAAACGGGTGCTTTGCAGGTCAAAATGGTAATATTGGTGTTTGTTTGACAGGAGGGACCATGACTTCACACTGGGAAAGAAAACCAACACTATGCAAAGCAGCAACCGAGTGGAAACATGGGGTTTTTTTCTGAATCCAGACTCTAAACCTTGCACAGACTGAAAACAGTATTTTTTTAAACAATATATAATACAGTATGTGCACGGCTTTTTGTAAAATAATTAATTTGTGTGCATAATCTTAAAATTCTTTACAAGCAAAGTGATAGAAAAATAAAGGTCATTCGTTATGCTTTCTTTCCGTATGGCTTAGATGTGTCTGTATTTGGTGCAACGCAATTATTTCAACACTGCTGTGAATACACAAAAACGACAAACACTTGTGCACAAAACTGAAGCAAACTAAGTTTCTCTCCACTCCCAAAGCTGTGYGTTTACAAAAAGCTCATTGCTGTGCTTGAGTTCTGATTATCTGGTCATGCAAAAAAATTTATATATTTAAACATTGAGGAGGTAGTCCATCGGGCAGGGAGCAGAGGAACATGGAGGGGAACAGGCGGAGGACTGAGCGCAGCAGCTGCTGAACACTTCTGCAACTGTCCCGAGAGGAGRCTTATTTAGGCACTGGGTGGGTGGAAGAAACTGGGGATGGTGGCAGGAAGGACAGATCCAACGTTTCAATCTGAACCGGCTGAGTTAAGGAGGGGGGACCAAATAAAAAGTTCACCTTCAAGCCAGTCGATGGAAGTTGTTTAATATCGAACAAAGTCCAGCTGGAATCTATTTTTCAAAAAGTTACTTAAAAAAAATCCAACAAGAGCCCCCTTGGACTTTTGAGACCACCGTCTTCAGTCTCTTTGTCTGCTTGGTGATAGAATCAACTCATTCCATAAAGCAGTCCGGCGTAGTTCACAAAGATGCCACCGCACTCGACTAAGGATGGGCGTAGTAGTGATTTCTTCCACCTCCAAATCCTCTGCACACAGACCTCCACTCCCATGTTTAATCTCTTAGAGAAAGGCACATACAGCTTGGGTGTTACGTAGTCCGACGTATTTTAGTCCTTTCTTATCTCGGCTCCAGGCTCTTATCATCCTCTGGCTCTGTAGAGTGACATGAGAGATGCACAGACAAAAACACTATCAGTGGGCAAAATCTTAAAAGAAAATGTTGCAAAAAAAATCATAGCCAAGACAACTGTTAATAGGATTAAACAGAAACTACCAGGATGATTTTTATGAAGCTTTTTTCAGTGCCGATCAGAAACAGGAATCAAGCATTAAAAAAAAAACGTAAGTGACAAGCATTTTTAACTTTTTCATCCAACTGCCTAGTAGTAACCGAAACAACAAGACAGGATATAGGCAATCAAAATCCGTTTTCTGTGCAGGGTTGCTGGACTCTTCCTTAGACATAAGATGGGGAAGTTCAGAAATCTGGGAGACAGAGTAGAGCCACTGCTCCTCCACATCAAGTTGAGGTGGTTCATGCATCTGCTAAGGATGCCTCCTGGACACCACCCTAAGGAGGTTTTCCAGGCATATTCAGCTGAGAAGAGACTGCAGGGAAGACCCAGGACACGCTGCAGAGACTACGTCTCTCAGCTGGCCTGGAAACAACTTGGAAACCTTCCTGGAGGAGCTGCAAGAGACGGCTGTGGAAAGACACGTCTGAGCCTTGCTGCTCAAGCTGCTGCCCCCGCAACCTGACTCCAGAACAAGCAGAAGACGATGGATAGAAAGAAAGAGCACGCGGAAAATAAGATAAAAAACTAATAATGTGAGATAAACCATAGCTGCAGAATGAGGCAGATGGTTAACACYGTTGCTGTTTGTTTCGCAGCTGGGGTCTTCATGAGTTTGCATGTTCTCCCTGATATGTGTGGGATTTCTCCAGGTACTTGGGCTTTTCTCCCACAGGCCAAAAGACAAGCATGTTAGGTTGAGTGGCAGCAATGAATTGGGATTACTGGTTTGGTTTTCCAAGGACAGCCTGTCACTAAGTGGTTGTCTGTCTGGTCTCCATGTGACTCTGTGATGGATTTGCGGCCGGTCAAGGGTGTCCCCTCCCCTTCTGTCAGTTTTGTTTCGCAAGTTTGGCTGACAGATGAGGACATTTTGACATTTTCATTTTCCCCCAGAGCTCAGAAAGTTGTCCAACCTCCTGCTGTTGTTAAACCAACTGCTATAATGTGAAAGCCCTCAGGCTGTCAAATGAAAACTGCTCCTATTGCAGTGGAAATTCAAAACAACATGAGGACAACGATCTGACACACACACACACACACACACACACACACACACACACACACA